GAGGTAGGTCGACATTATTACCCCCATTTTACAGACGGGGAAACTGAGGCACAGAGAGGTTAAGTGTCTTGCCCAAGGTCACGCAGCAAGTGAACGCTGGAGCTGGGACTAGAACCCAGGTTCCCTGACTCCCAGTGTCCTTGAAACTAGACCACACTGCTTCCAAAGAGGCATCCCCAGACTGGCTTTGAGCACAAATTAAAGACGGACAATGTTAGATGAGGTTTGGGTGTGGTGGTATTTCCCGTGGACACGTTAGGATGGAACCTGAGGTGTTGCCTGGATTGGTTGGCATGCGGGTGTATGTGTTAGTTTAAATGGGTGTATCTGAGCTTCCTGTCCTGTCCATTTCTCACTGCGTTCTGAACTGGGATACTGCAGAGAGCAGGAGCCAGGTGGTCAGGAGGTCATGACGTACTGGTATATAAAAGGAACTCTGTCAGCTCAGCGCCAAGGGGCCTGCCAGTCTTTGCGACTTCAGGCCAACTAGGGATACAGGACTTTGGAACGGAGCCAGCTACCCACCTTAAGCAGGTCTGCTTATTCTTTTTATTATTATTATTTTTTAACTGGTCAGCATCAGGAAGTTGTGTTCATTTCATTTCTCTGTGGGGCGGTTGCCCCCCTCCTTTGCTCTCTCTCTCTCCCCCCCTTTCTCTCAGTCTCTGCTTGGAAGCCAAAGCTGTTAAGCCTTGTGTGTTCCCTTTCATGTAAAAGAGCCACCGTGAGCAGCATCCGCGACAGGCGGCCGTGGCTCTGCAGATGGGCCACAGCCTGCTTCCACCTCTGGAGGAGTGCTTGGCTTGGAAGGGGTCTCCCCGGGGCCTTGGGTTTGCTTTTTCCTGCATTTCTCCTGAAATGCTGTTTCAGTAGAAATAAGCCCACTTGAGACTTTTCCCTTTCAAGGCCTTAGCCACAAACGCCTTCCGACTAACCAGCTTGGTGCCGTAGCTCAGGCAGAAAATTCTAAAGCATCCGTTCAAGCATCTGAAACAAACGAATCAGCCAGTGAAATCTCATCTGTTAGCATCTGTTCTTCTCTTAGATTTAAAAAACAGCCTTTTAATGGCTTTAGATGGAATCATGCTTTAAAAAAATGAAATGAAAAAATTTCACTACATTTTAGACAAAGGTGACATGATAATAGGTGTCTGACGCTGTCAGGTAAATGTCTGTGGAGTGCCCCGTTTTCCTCTGTCTTTATGCCTCCCTGAGAAGGCCACATCAAGACACATCCGGGACAAAGAGTCATTTGTTTCTTGTATGCCACCCACATTTCCACTTGACCGCCTCCACCACCATCTGTTGGCAGGGGCTCAGGCTTTAAAATGACACAGTTTAACAGCCTAATTCTTTATAGCTAGAAATCATGGCCTGCTCCTTAAACCCAACTTCCGAACAGGTAAAAAAGACTATCCCTATACAGTTGTGCTGTCACTGGATGGACAGGCTCCCACCTGGGATGGGTGGGGGACAGGCATCTCCTCGGATTCCATCAGAGCACATGTCTTTTGCCTAAGAGGGATTCTTAAACGTTGAAAGAAAGAGAAATGAACAAAACTTTTCCCACTTCGGGATCTTTTCTTGTTCTCATCCATGAGATACTGGACTAATTCGTATCAGTGTCTGGAAGGTATGATGGGACATTGGACATGCACTACTACTTGCTGGAAAGGGGACTGAGTGTTTTCATGGCTGCTTAGCTGTGTTTTTTTATTTATTTGCTCCTCGTGGAAACTTGCAGGTCACTTGGATGCAGCAACAATGGATGAAGAGCAAATGCTGAGTCAAACTAAAGTGAATATGGCATGTCAGGGATGGATGGGAAAAAAAAGACCGGATGCAGCTTCTCTATTTCCCTCTTTGTAGAGGTACTCGAGAGAAGGTTGGTTTTAATGAGGAGGATGGATGGACAGATGGGAACTACACATTCATCCAGACACAGAGGTCAGAGGGTCCCGGATGCCGAGCTCCTAACCACACTCGGATCCAGGAGTTCCTCAGGCCATTCTCCTTCACATAGAAGGCAACGCTGCAGTTGGTCTGACTGGAGGGAAATCAGACAGTGCCCCCAGGTTGAAAACCATAGTACATCTGAGTGTTCTTGAAAACCATTCCATGGGGTGGGGATGCAGAAAATTTGGACCAGTTCTAAAACCTGTTCAGACAGACTGCAGTCTACGTAGCACAAGCACGCACATACCTATATCTTTGCTTCTGCGCTCACACTATGATGCCCATGCTCCATTTTCCATTAGCAACCAGTCTGTTAGCCATGTGGCACCTGTCATGGGGAGAAGCAAGTCACCCCACTTCTCAAAAGGCCATGCCCACTTTCAGGGGCTTCCTCAAGGATTTGCGTACTTGTCCTAGTTACAGTACAGTGTTGGTATATTTCTCTCATTGCCATTTGACTCCATTCCCCTAACTGCTATATCATCAGGTACTACGTCATCACGCAGAGAGGAAGAACCTTCTCATGCTAATTAACGTAGAGTAACAAATCACATTTAAAGCCATTTCTACAGCAGAGGGAGACAAAAATGTAATTAGAATTATCCTTCAAAGGAGACAGAAATTTTCTATTTTTAATGTTTGTTTCAGAATCAAATGCATTTACAGAATTTATCTGTCAAGATTATGAACACAACTTAATTTTCTATGCTGTGTACTCAACATAAATTATAGACATAGCCTCAACTCCCAACGGAACCATGTGAAAGTGTGTTGATATTATCATCTAAGTAGAAATATTTGAATTTCACCAAGGAAATAAAACTTTTTCCATAAACAACAGAATGAAAAATGTTTAGACGGAAAAAAAAAACCTCAACATTATTTTAACACAGTGTAATAGAGTCTTTTCACCCATCATCTATCAATGTACTTTTAGTACCATTTGATCCTTCAACTTAGGACTCAGTGAACCCCGTACATGAAACTCATTTAATCATGTGCTGTTTTTGCATGTTTTAAAACATCAAAAAACCAGATCTAGCCTCCACAGCAAATACCGAAGCCATCTAATTTGGAAGTCTCAAGGGCTCAAAAAAGAGTATAATCTTGCACCTAGTTGGTTATCATACATGCTTTCCACAGAAAACAGAAGTCTCATTACACAGAGCTAAATTAAGACATAAGGCATCGATGAAACAGTCTTTTCCCCCACCAGAAAATTCATCAAGTTCCAACCCCACCAACTAGAATTCTAGAATGTAAGCGGTTCCCTAAAAGTAGAGGGCACCACGTAACTGAAGTCTGGCCAGCCCTAGACCTCCAAGTTCAGGGCGACTTTAGGGAAGAGCCTTCAAAAACACATTAATCATACCCTCTCCTTGCACCCAACTTGGCCTTGCTCCCCTCAAGAATGTACAGACCAGAGACCTGTTGAAATTCAGTTTGCTTCTTCTAAGGCTAGTTGTGCACAGGGGTCCAGGAGGACTGTCACTTTGCAAACTGGATCAGCCAAAGGCAAAAGGGCTTTACTCACAAATTCTACAATCTGAGCTATTTAACTGGGCCTGTGATTCACTGAGCTCCTTTAGGCTAGGTGATCAGAGAGAGAAAAAATGGAGATTGTCTTCAGATTCAGTGGCTATCCTTCCCTCCACATATGCCTCCTCCCCCAACCCCTGCAGCTGTCTGGGCCCAGCAGAGGTTTCACCTTGAATTAACAGGTCATCTACTAACCCACCATTACGTACACAAACGCCACACCCATTCATTCACTCACCCACTGGCATCCATGTTCATACTCATATTCTCTCAGCAAGATCATGGACAAGCCTCCACTTTGGTCGTTACCACCACTTTGAACACAAAACAATGCTGGGCATTTTTCTCCAGAAAAAGTGTATGCCTGCTCCACACTGAACCTTATCAATACCTACGAGGCCAAATTTAAGATACATGGTTGTAACAGGGACAGAAAAGTGATTTTAGAGTAAATGAATAAAAAAGGAAAAAGATCCTTTATCTTATTCACGATGGATTTAAGGCACTTTGGGTAGAAGAGATGATGGGGTTTTCAAAGGATCTGGACAGTTGTTTCTGACAGCTTCTGACCTCTGTGGTTACCTTTTGCAGGTTTTTAGCACCTTTTCTCCACTGCCTCTTCACCCTGCTTTCTTCATCAAGCACTCACAAACCAGCTTTCCCGGCCCCAATTCCTGCAGTTCTCTATTGTGACTCCTTTTCTTCCACACACACCTGCTTCCCATCCCAAAGTTTGGGCTTACTATCCTCACGGGCTTACCTGGGATTCTACATGCCTTGACTGTACTAAGCCTGGTTGGTACCAGGGGTTCCTGAAGCCACACCCACACTCTGAGAGCCTGGGGCAGGCCGGGGCTGGAGCAGAGGTGAGGGGCCAGAGGCTGGTGTGGTTTGTAAGAGAGAAGCACTTGCACAGCAAGCCTCAGGGCCATCAGGAGACAACACACAGACAAGACACACCAAACACACACATGCACACACATACACACGATACACACTAGGAGGTGATGGATGTTACTGAAATGGACCGAAAACCAACAAGCAGTGGGGTAAGAAACAAACAGAAACAAAACAAAGCACTTGCATTCGGATGGAAAGCTGTTCACTGGGCAGCTAGGGCTGTGGGGACACCATGGGACCTCTCCACAGCAGCTGGACTTCAGTGTGGGTGCCTGCCTGGAGAACACTGCCTTTGGGGAAGACTGGACGAGGGGGTGCAGCTTCCCTCCCCCCAGGGATGTGCCTGCAGGGCTGTCCTGGGGGCCCTGTCCCACGGGGCAAGGTTGGCAGCAGATGCGGGACACCACAGAGAAAGCAAGGGGATGCAGGCACTTACCTTGTGGCCCAGAAATGGCTAGTCCACGTTTTGGGGAGTGTGCAGTATCTCAGTTTAAACAAAATCCTTGTGGTACTGCTCAACCATGAATAGTCAGCTCTCTAGTATTTCAAATAAGCTTGCGAAATTGTTAGTGGAAAGAGAGAAAAACGAACGAACAGTAATTCACCTGTAGGGCAACTGTGGTGTTCTTCGCTGGGTATTTTCCCACCAGTCCTTGTTCCTTCCGTTTCTTGAATTTCCTAAAGTAGTCCTGTATCAGGAAAGTGGCATAGAACTTCCCCACGGTTACCTCATCATCTAAACGGAGAGACCAGACAGAGCTCTCCGGAATCAGCACATTTGGACCAAGAACCTAGACACTCACTTCTGGCCGGGAGCAGGGGTGGGGCGGGATGGTGCAGAAGGCACTAAGCTCTCCGCTTACAACGGGAGAGACTAAACCTAGCAAAAAGCATGGTTTTGCAAAGCAGGTAAGGCTCAAAATTAGAGTCAGTTAAAGGAACTGATATTCAAAACTGCAGAAAATAATATATTTGTAATGAGTTTAATTCAGCAGCATATTAGTAAAACTCCAAAATGTTGTCTTGGTTATTTACTTAAAATAAAAATTACAAAGCAAAAAAGGCTTCATGGACCATATTTTCACCCACAGGGATTTGCATGTGTAATTGCTATGAACATCATCAACAGCAATTAACCATCCAAATCCCGACACCTTGAGATAGAGATTTCAGAAAGGTTATATACAAGCTCACTGAGGACAGGAAGGTTCAGAAAAGTCTAGATTTTCATATGCCCCCTTTATTCTCTGCCAATAACCTCCTATACCATTTCTTGGTTTGTAATTCAGAACTGCTTGTTTTCTGCACCGCAGAGGCAGTTTCGGCTAACCTCATTGTTGAGCTGGGCTTATTTCTGTTTTGTTCAGAAACAGCCCTCAATACGTCTGTGTCATTAGGGAATCAGAACTTGGCTGGCGACTTCAGAGGTGATGCATGAGGCAGAATAGAGGCCCTGGCTGTCTCATGGTAAACCACTTTGGAAGTGTGACCCCGCCCCAGGGGTCTCCACAAGCCCTGCTCTCCCAAGGGCACTCGCAGTGTGCTCAGGTCTTCTAGGTGAAAGCTTAAGGCCACCCTAGCAGCCCACCCACCACGGGGCCCAACAGGCACCAGCTGGGAGGAGGAACGGCTGCTGGTGCTCAGGCTTTAGGACAGTTAAACTTTGGCCAGGCTGCCCTTGCCAGTTACAGGCTGACCTGGGACAGGGTTTCAACCTCTCTGAGCTTATGTTCTCAGCTGTCAAATGGGGATAATAGGAGCACCAGCCTCTAAAAGTAGCTGTGAGGGTTACATGAGATGAGGCACATCAAGCACTCAGCCACAGCCTGGGTCATCCTAAGTGCTGGGGCCTGAGGACCGTGAGCCACCAGGGTCACTGTTATTTTGCAACCTGCCAACAATGGCCATCTACTGAAATGGACCCTGAAGCACAACAGACTTGGGGTTCACTAGGGCCCACTGAATGTGCTAACGGAAGCCTACATGGGCTTCATTTAGTGCCCAGGCACCTCCCATTCATGGTCCCTGTCTGGAGACTGCTGGGCCACTGAGGGCTGCCTCTCCAACCTTCCTTGTCAGAAGCCACTCAGTGTTACTGTGGGAGAGGATGGCTTGGGGTAGTCTGGCCTCGAGAAGTGTGTTATGTTCCCTAAACCCAAACTGGGCAAGTCCTCGAGTGGTAAAGGGCCGCCAGTGTGAACTTAAGGCTTTGTGTGGCATGCGAAAACCTGGTCCCTAATCAGTCTAGGGCTTGTCAAAACACATCTAAAGATGCCCTGTCCATAGGCAAGAAGGTGAAAGCTGAACAGGGACCACTCAGGTCTTGACGTTTCTGTGCTTGCTTCACTCTTGAGCCTCTCCCCATTTTGACCAGCATGCCTTTGGACAGTCCTGCTACCATCTACTACTGGGCACGTACAGGTGCCAGGCCCTGCGTCAGAGGAATTCCTTGGGCATTTCATGGCCTCTTCAAAACAACTCTGAGATGGTGGATCTGTTCATCATTCCTACAGATGGATAGAGGTTCAATGACTTGCCCAAAATCAGCAGAGCTGGGATCTGAACCCAGGCTTGTGCCTTCCTGAGCCTGGGTTCTTCCTCCACAACTCTGCCCTGATGGACAGCTGAGCTCTGGCCACAATAGTCACCTGCTTTGGAGCTGCCCCTCCCAGAGGACAAGTCTCTCTCTACTGGCTACACACAGGATGTGGATCGATTGCTGACTGACTGGTGGACTCCAAGGAACCCAGGGAGATTCTTCACCTGCCACTGCCTTGCTCTTATGTCCAGGGCTCCAAGTTTTCTCCACAGGCCCCCAGAAAGGGCACTGGCTCTATCTAAAGAAGACCCTAGGATGCTTCCAGCAAACACAGGCCTAAGCGTCACCTCCCTTCAGCCTGGATCATGCTAGGCTCCTGCAGGAGGGTCTTGGCTCTCCCTGGCCCAGAACCTGGCATGGCGATATACTCATTGCAGAGGGCTAACCATGTTTTTGCCCTAAGGGTGGCTCCAGAGGAGGGGCAGGCCACCTCAGGGCTCTGAAGGCAGGATTCAAGGACCACTTGGTCTTATTCACTGAGACGCTGAGCTAATTGGAGACTAGGCCCTAGGAAGAGTTTTCAAGAAAAAGAAAAGCCAAAGATACAGCAGAATAGAAAAGAAAGGAAGAGAAGGAATGACTACTGTGGGTGTCTAGGCTCAGGGCTGGAAAGAGATGGAATAAGCTCTGTGTGCTCCTCAGGGAAAAGGAGCAAACAATCCAGGTCAAGGAATGAAGGCTGAGGTAGAGATGGGAAATGAGGCAGCTCAGCACTGCTGATGGAGAGAGTGGTCAGGCTGTCCCTGAGGCCAAAGGCCCCTAGACCTGACAGTGGAGAATGGAAGCTCCAGACTTGTAGTCCACAGTCCATTGCTAAATACTGCTTGTTATCACATCCATACCAGCAAAGCTTCCTAAGACAAGCATCCTACTCTGCTCTGTCTCCAGGGTTACAAGGGGATCCCTGAGACCTCACATCTGCCAATCCCGGGCACCAGGGGAGGCTGGCCATATTCAGTCTGCTGCTCTAACCAGCTTACAGTGTGCGGGCCACTGAAGCCTTCGGCCTCTGGCGGCTACCTGTGTTTGCCCAGTGTTCTAAGTGTGCCATGATGTTGGAAAGGCTGGGAATCACTCGTCTACCAGAAGATGAAAGAGGGCAAAGAGACAAGTGACAAATGCCAGATTCTAAACCCTTGCCCAGCAACTGTTTCAGAGTCTGTTCAGAATGCCTGGAAGTCACTGCCTTCTGAACTTCTTCAGTGGGAACAGTGCTTATTTAAGCTTCGACCTGGATCAGCTCTCTACTTGACACGTAACTAAACAGCGACGCTGACATTCTGGAGCATTCTATCTCCCACTAAGGCCCTGCTTCTTTCTTCTTGGGTATCATAGTGACTCTTGCTGTCTTTTTGGAACAGATTAACACTTCTCATCCTAAACCCCAATCCATTTTAAGAAATATAGAGAAAAATCCAGGTCCAGTTGTTGGACGAGGAAAGCTGAAGAATATTTATCTTTTATTAGAAGTCTAGTAGAACTAAAAGTTGAGCAGCTTTTCTAGGGACAGGAGTTCAGATGATGAGTCAAATTCTGGACTTTTTTTCTGGTAAAGTTACAAGAAATGAAGTTTCACAATAATGAGGGTGATGCTCTCCCAGTGAGTCCCAGGAAGATGGGCATTAGTGTGTGAGTTAGATTAATGGGAATGAAGGTAGCATTTCAAGAGAGAAGTGAGGCTCAGCGAGGGAGAAGCAGGGGCCTCCGGACAGCGGAAGGAAGGTTTACATAGACAGGCACAGCCTGCTATCCTGAAGCATGCATCTGTATTTTAAGAAACATTGTAGGGGAATACAGTTGGCAAGAGATAACTCTGATTCCATGCCACCACCCTAAAACAGAATTGCTTCAGAATATTCTGAAAGACTGAGAGTTGAAAGGAATGGAGGCTGCAGAAAAAGCTCAAGCAGATTGTTACAACAATTTTAAAAAGCAATTCATCTAAGCCATGCGAACACTTGGGTGTGCAGCTAAAAGGAAAAAACTAAAACCAAAAAGTTGTTTTAAATGTGCAGTATCAGTTCTCCCGTGGAGAGCCAGGGTTCTCTAGGTGGAGTTTTCTCTGGGTTTGTTTTCCCTCTATGGTTTCTTTCTGGGCCATCTGCCCCAGCTTTGAGCTGGTGGCCATGCCAGCTAAGAGTGGCTCCCTCCAGCCACCAAAGCTCCTACTGCTTCTCGCTTCATGCTGAGGAGCAGAGCTGGCAGCCAGCATGCTGCTCTCTTGGCCCCCTGAGAGCCAGAGGTTGTCACCTTCTCAGAGGGAGCAGCTTGGCCACCATCCTGGCCTGGGTTCCGGAGTCGGCTTCCAGACCTGAGCCAGACCCATCTCAAAAGCTGCAGGGGCAGTGACACTATAAAAGTTCGGTAGGTTACAAAACACACCCAATGCTTAGAATGCGCCCAGGGCTGGGGGTGGCTAAAATGCTGTTGTGGTGGCACCAGGTAAACGGATCCTGCACCTTTAAAACTTGAAAATGAAACAGTCAAAACAACCACCTCAACTTCTAAGTCTGTATGTATTTAAACAAAAATGGAAAAACATTATATATTTTATATCTGAAAACAGTTTAGTGAGTTATTTTATGATAAATAACAAGAGGAAATAAACATGCCTGTTAGTTCTGTTCCTAAAGTCGAGTTAAAGGGACATTCTTGTTGTGTGTATATATATGTATATATACATATATATTAGTAAATTTAGCCTTTTAAGACCATTTCGAAAATATCATTTCCTGAAAGTGATCTATTTTTTGTAAAAAGTTTTCAACAGTAGGTTGAAGGATAATTGGAAACTGATTTTAAACATTTCATTAGGACAAAAAAAAAAATACAGGTGTTTCCTTTCGAGATAGCAAGCTTGTTCTCTAAACCCCACTCAAGCTATCTGGGTCTTGGTTTCCTTCTCACATGAAGCCTTTCCTTTGTCTGGAATGCTCTTCATATGACCTCAAATAACTACACCAAATTGCCAAAGGGCTTTCTCTAGTTATTGGCCATAGTGCCCTAGCTGATCATAAAGCTTTCCGCAAATGCTCTCTGGACTTTGTGGAAACATCTTCGTTAAAACCAAAGCATTGGCCAAGGACTACTTAGGAAATAGGTTGCACTGACCACCAGCTGGAGGGACAACTTGGTCAAGTAGTTTCATGCTGGTTTTCTTCCAGATTTTCTTTATCACAGCTCGGAGTTCTTCATTAGCTTGTTCCAGGTTTCCTGAATTCAAAAAGCAAAAAGGGAAAGACGAGCTTTGTTTCTTATACTCAGCTCTCCCTCCCTGTTCTTATCACAGCTGCTCTGCCCCAGCTTGACCTGGGTTAGTGTACTGGTCTGTGATGGGGTGCCCCTCCCACCAGGCGCCCCAGTCAAGGTCATACACACTTGTTATATTCAAGCCCTTCTGATGAGTCAGTCATTTCATTACGGAAACAACCACTCTTTACCCTGGAATTCAAGGTCTACCACCATCTGGCCCCACCCCACCCTCCCACAGCCAAGACCCACCTGTTTCCCACTGGGTCCCAGCCTAGAATGGCCTTTCCTTCTTCTCTGGCTGTTCTAAATCCTGCCTCCAACCTTAAAGATCCAGCCTAAATTTCAGTCAAACAAGACTTCTCTGAATTCCTACTGCATATACTCATCTGATCTTTTATTATATGGGACGATGTTTCACAGGCACGTGCTTTGTCTTCTCAACTCACATATCAGAATGTAAGACTCTCCTGCCTTCCATGTCCCTTAGTGGTGCTGGCCCAGAGCCAGGTATGGACGAGCACACCGCAAGGAGTACCTGTCAGTTAGGCTTGAAGATACTGGCTTTTCTGGATAGATTCACCCTGAGCCCTGGTGTTGTAAGAAAACAGCTGCCCGCTGACTCCACATGCACCCCTTGCTGCCGCCTCTTCCTTCTCCTCTGCCAAGTGCCTCACAGAGTCAGCTCCCCTTGTGGTCTCCCCTTCCTTACCTGCTAGTCATTCCTCAGCCTGCTGCAGCCTGCTTTCCATCCCACCTCTAAAGTCACCAGTGAGCCAAACTCAATGGCCATGCTTGTTTCATCAGGATTTTACCAGGGAAACCCTGTTGGCGTAGTGGTTAAGAGCTACGGCTGCTAAACAAAAGGTCAGCAGTTCAAATCCACCAGGCACTCCTTGGAAACCCTATGGGGCAGTTCTGCTCTGTCCTGTCGTATTGCTATGGGTTGGAGTCGACTTGATAGCAACAGGTTTAGTTGTTTTTAATAAGCATAGCCATGAAGACCACGCTGGTTGGGCTTTCACCTGAGAAGATCCTCATTCCAACGGTATTTCCCAAGTGCCAGCTATGTGCTAGACACCGGGTAGATGCTTCTGCAAACATCACCTCATCTAATCCTCAAGACTTGCCCTGATGTGGGCATATTTATTTCTTTTTTTTACAGAGAAGGAAGCTACGGTTCAGAACACTGAAATACATTGCCGAAGGTCACACAACTAGTGACAGCTGGAATGAAATCATTTGTGGTGGTTATGCCTCTGTCCTGACCCCGCACCTGTTTCTCCTGCTATGTAGTAAGCAGTGGGACAAGTTACCTCAAAACTTTTCAGAACAAGGTGAATCACAAAGGAAGGAAAGAAGGAATGAGTGAGGCAGGGGACAACCAGAAAGCCAGGCACAGACATCCTCATTACACTCACTGGTCCCCTTCCCCAGGGCTTCCTGTTTGACAAGAAAAGGCCAAGACGGGAGAATGCAGGGTGGGATACGCCATCTCCTACCTCTTCCACCACCTGTCCTTCTTCCAGGGAATTCTTACCTTCAGTCTTGATTTTAAGAGCAGTTCGAACCAAGGCAAACAGAGTTGCATTAAACATGACTGTGCCATCACTGTTGAGAGGCATGTTCATGGCAACTAATCTCTGTAAACAGAAAGAAAAAATTTTTAATAGAATGTGAATGACTGTTGGCAGCCATATCCCCTTCTGGTATTTATTCTCTGTTTATCCCTCATCTCTTTTCTAGTCCACCCTCAATTTAATTCAACAGTCGTCCGGGGAGCTGCACCATCTAGGGGGCTCTAGGACAACAAAGGTCAAAGTTTTAGTCAGGAAACACAAATGCTGGCGCTCGGTGTGCTTTGTTTGTATTTTAAACAATTAACCCTCACTGTTTAATCATTCTTTCCTCTTTCACACTAACCAACTCTCTTGGGGTCAGAACTCCATTCTGGGCACATCCTTAAGGGCTAAACGACTTAACAGGTACAAAGGACCAGGCACAGGGCCTAGAACTTCAGTTCTCAACCAGCAGTGTCCACTTCTCTTTCTAACACAGGGATGTCCCTCAAGGAACCTTCCCTCTGGTAAGACCACTGTGTAGTGTTTTGTATGAGTCTATGTGTTTTCTCCGAGTAGCTGGTCTTTCGGAGAAGGATTCACATTTCCTGCTTCTCTTACATCTCTTCTGGTCCGTCTGACAGCAGCAAAGAAAGGCAGAGAGAACTTGGGGAAGTAACTCACCCTCTCGGGCCCCAGTAGCCTGATCTGTAAATGCAGGTGACTGTACCCACGTCAAATGGGCCTCACGAGGATTAAAGAAGATCACAGACAATGATTTTAGCCTAGTGCATTGTCAGTATTTTAAAATTTCTTATTGTTGGCTGTCAGGGTGTCCCAAGAGAAAGAGGTCGTATTTTTCTCCTCCTTATTGATGGGCTAGGCTAGAACCTTGTGTTCTCAAGTCCTATCCTGTTTAAATTCCTAGTCCTATTATCAATCATCCCCATCCACAGAACCAGCTCAGGCAGCCAGAATGCTCTGGCTATTCATTTACTTTCCCCAGCAATGGATCAGCCAAATGGACCACTTTTGCCTTAAGGATGCTTAGACCCTTTATGAAAGAGCCTGGAAATCCAAGAACAAGACGACATCAGATTGGATACAAGATTGGAACCCATCTTGTATTAGAAAACAGAAAAGAGGCTGATACTGGGGAACTTATGAAAAAGTAAAAAACTTCTGTGGCTTCTTCCCTGTACCTATGTCTAAGGTCCAGCCTAAGGAGAAGCAAAGACCCTGAGGACTTGCCAATGAGGCTTTCTGGGTTTTCTGGGCAGGGAACAATCAGATTGGCTCAGACTTTGTTGAAAGTCCAAAATATATTTTAGACTTTGTTCTGCTCCTTCAGGAAAGGAGGTCCTCTGTACCCAAAGGCCACAGGGGGTCTGGCAGCAAGGGGGTCATGAGAACCACAGCACCACCGAGTACACCACCACCCAAACTAGGAGATACAGTCCCTTCTCACTCCTCCCTCCCCTCATCCAGGTCATCAAGTCTCTTCCATTCTACTTCCTATGTGTATCTTTAAAGTATGCCCCCTCTCTAGTCCCACTTCCACTGCCCACACTCAGGCTACTGTTATTTCGGACTCAGATAACCTGGTTGGCTCCACTGCTTCCAGTCTACTTCTACACTGTCAACAGGGTCAGCTTTCTAAAATGGAAATCTACTCATGTTCCTTCCCCAGCGTCTCCTCATTTTCCACGCGACTCAGCAGAATAGAAGGTTCCTTACAACTAGGCTCAGCCTGTGCCTGTGGCCTTCTGCTCCTTCCCCTTGTGTTCTAGCCACAGAAAGCGACTCATCATTTGCCGCTATGACATCTATCCTCTGCCTCCATCTCTGGGTTCTCTGGGCTGCCTGCCTGGAATGCCCTCTTCTCTGACAAACTCCCACTTCCCCTTCTGGATCTGACACAACTATCACCTTCCCAATTATCCACTCAATGACAAATTAAATAATTCCCTGCCTACTCTTACTGTTGGCTGACGGGGTAGCCCAAGAGCTACAAATCTGAGAGTTCCGAAAGGCAGGAATCCCATTATCACTCTTTTCTGCATCCCCAGCACCTGACAGAGGCTTCACAGAGTGCCACTTAGTAAATGTTGAGTGAAGCAGCGAGCCCCAACGAGAGGCTGTCAGACATGTCAATGGGACACTCACCTTGCATGCTACTCTGTGTGGGCATAATTTCCCAAACCCCAGGGGTGGCTGGATGCGCCTGAGCAGAGTGACCACGTCCAGGTGTTTTATCCGTCCCCTGGAAGTAAAGCACAGTATGAGGTCCAGGATGGCATTGGCTAGACTGAACTTTCAGCCCATCCCATCTTCCACAAAAATTGCAGCCAACATTCCAAAACAGCCCACATAAGCCAGATGGAGTCCTTGTCAACCTACTTTGCCTCAGGGTCATATTCTGACCATATTCGTTTGAATTCATCTAAATGGTGAGGCCCCAGAATAGACCAGTCCCGGGTCAGATAATCAAAGTTGTCCATGATGACGGCCACAAACAGATTGATGATCTGAAAAAGCAAATGAGAAGGAGGGAGCTTCAGCTGCAGGGGGAAGAACTGGCTTAGGCCCTAGTGATTGCCTCCTAACTATATGGGCCATGAAACTTTTGAAACCATTTCTTCACGAGAGGTTGTAAAATCTTTCCTACTGGAGAATGTTTAAGAATAGGACCAGCTTCTAGCTTTCGCAAATGGCTTTGGTACAGTTCCAGGGAGGGCAGGGGCATACATTACTCTGTCCTTTTGAAGACAATATAGTTTGATCATTTCATTGCTACCAAATAACTTACAGTCTTAAGAGCTTGCTATGTGTGGTAACTTTGAAATAAAAAAAAAAAGGAACCAGCAGCCCTAAGAAGCTACAGGGGAGTTATCCCAAACCGGTTTACCCCAGCCTCTGCTTACATCGAAGGCAGTAGTGACACATGCATGATTAAACAAAAATCTCCAACAACAAAGTGGAATCTAGAGTGCTCAGCAACACAGAATATTCCATGGTGACTGACAAGGCAACATCATTGGTTTGAACCCCAAATGCTGTACAAACCTCTCTAAGTTGAGAGGGGGAGCTATTCTCATCACTTACCAGAAACGCACAGAGCATGTAAAAACTGATGAAATAAACAATCGCAAAATTGCTCCCGCACGTGTACTCCTCCCCGGGGTTATAGTCCGACTCTGGGTCACAGAGCTTCCCGGGGAGGCAGGCTAGCATGATTTCCTGCCAGGCCTCCCCGGTGGCACACCTTTTTCAGATTAAAAAAAAAAACAAAAGGACTTTAATATGGGAAGGAAGGATTTTAAGGTTTAGACCTATGGGGGAAAAGATCTTAACTAGAGTAAAACTTACGTAATTTTGGGAACAGCCAGTTTGAATTTGCGAAAATCTGAAATTTCTACTTATTTCAGTAATTGACGCGGCTATTACGCCCTTTGATTCATAACAATAATTTGAAACAAGCATGCCAATTCTTTTCATATAAATAGATGTTTCTTTTTGTGTCTTCTCTACTTTAGACACTTACGTATTACAATTTTTAAACCATTACGAATTATTTTTAATGACCTGTATCTTACAACATGATGAGATTCCCACTCAATTTTATTGAAAGCGAGAATTGGAAACCACCTAACTTGCAAATGATTTTTCAGTTACTAGATGTATTAGAAATTATTTCCACAATTTCTCAGAAGTTCTCTTACTAGGAGGCAACTTGCTTACAGAGTTAACAAACTGAGGTTAAAACCATCCTGTGAAATCTGAAATCACATGTTAAGATGTTCCCCACTCGCTGTGCCAAAGGTCTCTATGTTCCTGGTAATTTCCATTTTCCTGGGTGTATTTAAGGGCATGCTCCCACACAAAGGCATATATCCTACAATTTTCCTGAGGGCCTTTAAATCAATCTGCTAACTCTCAGACAGGGAAAATAGAAACTTTAAGCCAGCCACAATCTGAACAACCTCAGCAGTTTTAACAATCCAGCAAAATTCTTCTGGGACTGAAATATTAGTCTGTTTAAAAATACAAAAAGAAAAGGCCACACTACTTTAGTAACATGCAGCCTCTGTCCCTCCAGACAGGTCAGGCTGCTCCAGAGCCCAGAGCTAGAGAGCGCTCCCTCCTTCGGCCCGCCCCAGGAGCACCACCGTGCTGGGCTCCCTTACCTGAAGAGCAGGAGCACCGCCTGTGGAAAGGTTTGGAAGTTATTATTTCTATTGATCTGGTTGTTATCTCTCATGGCAACTTTCCCAAACATCTGTGGAGAGAAATTATTAGGAAAAATGAATAGACTTTGTTACACATACACACAGAAACCCCACATGTACACTTACAACTAGGGCTTTCCCGGGGTGCCTGGCACTTCATTTATTCAACAAAGGTGCTCTCCCCCACCTGCCCATCTTCTTAGAGTGCTTTTCTGAGCCTGGGTCTCGCCTGGCATGGCTCTTTCCTGTGGAGGCCTCTCCTAAGGAGCCACATTGTTCTCATCTCCATTTTATCTCCTCAAAGGCTAGTGGGTTTGGTTGAAAACTCATGACCTCATCTTCCCATTTCACTTGGCAAAAGTACACCTTGTCACAGATTGGGGCTACTCAGCCAAGGGGGGGCCTGAGGGAAAGGCAGCTGGAGCTTACCTGCATGCCAATAACCGCATAGATGAAGAACAGCATGGCTATGAGAAGGGCGACATACGGGAGGGCCTAGATGGGAGAAACACTTGGCTCAGCACTGCCTCCTGCCCCCGTGATTCCTCAGGAGCGGACGGCCAAGACCCCCTCCATGTGCCACACGTTTCTTTTCTTTTCCATGTGTTATATTGAAGAGACACCAATAATGAGGAAGAACTTTTTAAATCCTGTATGTTACTATCTATCACAGCACAACTATTTTCAGTCCAGGGTATACCATCCATAGGCACATCACGTGTTACGAAGTTCAGTCAGCACGTGCTTACCACAGTCACTAACACTGTATCCCTAAGCATTTCCAACACAGACTTAATGATTTTTAAAGTCACCATTGGATTCCTTTGTGAAATTATCATCATTTATCAAACCATTCAAAAACACTGTACATTTAGATTACTTCTACTGTCTTTTATGGGCATGTATGTGGGGGGTTATTGTAGATAATGTCATAAAGCAGCATCTTTACACTAAATCACCTTGCTTCTAACCAAGCGATTTACTTAGGGTGAAGTCTCCAGGGTGGAATTACCAGGTCAGAGGGAAGAACCAGTTTCTGGCTGTTGCTGTAGAATGCAAGACACCTTTCTTAAAATGCACGCTTTCTGGAAGAACCACAAAGTGTAGGGGCTGGACCAAGGAAGAAAAGGAGCCAGATGGGTGGGCACCAAGCTTGGGTTCTTTCTCCTCAGTAACATCAAACACGAGTGTCTGTGTCTGACCAGACCCTGGTCCTTTAATCTACTGCTCCTAACTTATTGTCTACCTCATCACATGGTGGAGGATGTCCATATGCACGGGGATGACCAGATGGTATGCTTAATTCCTAGCACATGCTCTTAAAGCATCTACTTTCTCTCCTATCGGAGAAGGTTATCGGAAACTCAGTGGCTAACAAGTTATGCCACATGCCAACTTGTGCCAGCTGTGGACTGGGGACTGCCAGCCTGGCCCAGTGCAGTAGGCACCATCCCCGACAGCTGGACTGGTTAATGGACTTCCACAGGGTGGGTTTCAGACTTTCCTCATCGTAACTACATGCACTTTCTTCCTAGATTAATGAATGCTTAAGACGTTTTCTGGCATCATTTCTCAGTTTTTATGAGCTGCTGTTCTGTGAGATGAACGCCTTACCTATAGTGACCAAATTAAAAAAAAAAGAAGTTTAATAATTTCTTGTAAAGGAAGAATGACATTATAGATATAAGCATGATTTTATTCTATTTTTATAGCAGTTAATTGACGAGCTATGGTACTTTATTACTAATAACAAAGACTGTGCTTTCATCCCTGACAGCTGGCCCAGACTCAATGCCTGAGGGCCTCACTCTGCCCTGCCTTTCTCAGAGCTGCAGGCCCAGCTTCTCCTACCTCATTCTCCTCTAACAGGGCTGTGACTTCCCTTCTTTGGGCTCCTGCACATATCCCCTTACCCCAGATTCCATCCCTTTCCTTCTCTACCTGTCAAAATCCTACCCACTGCAGAAAAATACATATTGGGATGTTAACACTGGTCACCTTAGAAGTGGGTGAGGGGCAAGTTTGAGCTTTTCTTTTCTAGATCTTCAGATAGCTTTGCTTACATGAAGCACTGATTACTTTTGAATTTAAAAAAGTCAAATAATAAAGAAAGGAAGATTCGTGATTCACTTTCTAATGTGTGTACATATCCAGTATACCTTCTAACAAGAATCTGTACCCCTGCCCACAACGGCTTCAGACTGGAAGGTACAGGAGAAGCTGGGTTCTGTTTAGGAGCAGAGTAGAACTTGGCAGTACCAGCGTGGAGAATTAAAGGTGACAAATGAGACCTGGCTTATACTTAAATGTCATGAACTCTCTAATCCTTCCAGAGACTGATGACGGGTATGGTGGCCCAGGTGAAGTGGTCTCTGATTCTTACACAGACTAGCTGACAGGCAGGACTGCTGCAGTCTTGTGAGGAGAAGCCACCCTACAGAGGGGCTGTTAGGCGGCCAGGGAGTCTGCTATGACCCTCACTCTCTCAGACATCATCATTCCCCACTGGCACCCTGGGAAGGACAGGCGCAGAGGCTCCACATCTCTATTGGAAAATGTTGCAGATCTCTCAGCTATATGTCCTTACTGCTTTCTCTTCTGTCTCCTTTAGGCAACTAATCCTCTTTGATTTGCCCAAGTAACCTTAGGTCAGGTGTCTCCAACATTCCATATTCTCTATTGACCTAGATCTACACAGTGTCCTAGGAAGGGACACTGGAGGAAGTCTGGATCTTCTAGGACAGGGGACAATCACTGACTTACAAATGATCTTCAAAGACAAACAGAGAGGCCCTTGGCATATTCTTACCTGAAAGGACTTAATAAAAGTCCACAGCAACGTCCGGATGCCTTCACCCCTGCTGAGAAGCTTCACCAATCGCATCACTCGGAAAAGACGGAAAAAGGTGATGGAGATTCTATTGCTCTCTTCAGAGTTCTGAAGGGTTATCACGGAGAGGTCAAACCCAATGGAAAGTAGAACATGCAACACTTTCAGAAAAACAGCAACAGATGCAAAGGTGACAGAGGTAAGAATTGAAGATGTGTTTCTAGGGCCTTTTCACCTTAAAAAGCATGATATGAAAGGAAAAGTTACATGCTAACAACACAGGGCTTGGAAAACTGTGTCCACACAGCACATGCATGTCCATGTGTTCTACTGTGTTAAGAGGAGAACGCTAGGTTGGTCAAGAGTTGGACACTAACGATGAATGCAAACCACTGCAGACACTGTTCTGGAAGGACAATCATGGAGAATACAGAAAAACCAGTGGAAAACTCAACATGGTCAAATAATAAACTCAAGGAAAAGGCCCAGCCCCTGGGGACTAGTTACTGATCTTACCCCAGGTGCAGCAGTTGGGACAGGGATATTTTCACTTTCAGTTGGCTTTAAGAAATCAAAGATTGAAAATGTATTAATGAACTGGGAAGGAAGCAGTTGTTCAGGAGGACATTCTCCCCGTTTTAAAAATGTGTGGTTAGTGTTTGAGGACAACACACCTGTCCTCTCCCTGAGAAGATGCCAGTGTCACTGTGTGGAGCACTGGACCTGAGAGTGGGCAGTCACTGGCACAGACACAGACACATTACTTTCTAATCACATCCAAGGACATGATGGTCCAAGGCTGACAGACACCAGTAACAGATAATGCTGCAAAACGGCACTTTTCCCTAAAGACAGAAATGCAGAGTGCAACTCTGTGTCTCCTAGGGAAACTAGCTCTCTTCACTCCGTCAGGTTTCGGGTCTCTGAAGATAACTGGCTGTGCACAGGCCACTCCTGATCCTGAGGAACAGAGTGACTCTAGCAAACAAGGCAAACACAGCTACACCTGCCTGCAGCCCACAAACCTCCAGGACTGCCCTCTGTTCCCATCAGACCAAGCGCGTCCTCCCTGGCACGGAACAACTGAAATTCAGCAATGTCACTAGGAACCAAGACTGAAAAATTCTGGTGGAGTTACAGGGGGTCTCTGTTTCACCTGGGACACTCACAATGTGAACTCTCAATGGGCTCATCAAAGCCCTGACTCGCTGTTTCTACTTTCCTCTTATCTTACCTCAGAACAAACAACATCTTTTTAAAGGACTTTTTTTTTTTTTTTTTTAATTTAAGAGCTTTAACAAACGAAGGAACTAGTTTTCCAAAGTCCCCTCTGTCTCCTGTACCATCTCCCTAAAGGGTGTGCACAGGGAGGCTTCACTTTTGCCTCTCGTGGCTGGAGTATGAGGGTGTGTGTATGTGCGTCTACACACACACACACACACACACACACCCCTCTGCTTGCCTATGCACAAGGGACCAGAGGGTTTACATAAGACACAGCACTCCACAGCAACCCTTTGCAAATGTGCCTGACTTGTGTTGGACCTGCTCAGAGAATAGGGAGGCCTGTTGGTGAGGAAGACACTCTTGCAGACCACAATCTGGCCCCTGCTCCTTCTGCTTGCCCCTCACTGTCCCGCTCCAAGACTGACAGACTATTCACCAACCCTTCCTCATGGTATGGAAAAGTTGGCAGCCAAATGACTCTTGAAATGCAGGTCTCTTTTTTAACCAATATCTCTGAAGTATGACAAATCATGGGCTCTGAACGTCAAACCGTGGATATTCATTTAAAATGCAAAAACGAGGAGGAGACAGCAATTTCAGGAGGAAGAAGGCAGCACAACATGCAAGTAAGGAAGGAAAGAGCACACAGCACGCCAAACTGCATGCAACCCAGTGCGGCCTGCAACAGCTCCCTCCTCCCCCGCCACACTGGGCAGGAAGGACTGCTCAGGGGGCGCTGGCTGGCAGCACTGGGAGATAGTGCAAGATGCCAAAATATCTTACAAACTGGAAGGGCCCTGAGGATGGCTTTGCCCAAACTGCAAATGCCAGCTAGATGAAAGGGCAGGCCAGTAGCTCTCAACCTGGGCTGCACACTGAAACCACAGGGATCTTTAACAAAATATGGTGCCTAGGTCTCACCCCAAAGCTTCTTAGTTAATTGAGCTGGGTGTGTCTGGGCACTGGAAATTTTAAAAGCTCCCACATGATTCTAATGCGCCACGAGAGCTTAGAACAGCCATCTTAGGCCAAGGTTAAGCTGGGACAGTCTTCAGCTGGTCACCCATGGCAGCTAATTCCCTTTAGGCCTGGTGTGGCCCTTCAGAGTGGGACCACTAGAAAACCCCACTCAGGTTGTGAGAGCTGAGAATTGGGTTCTTTTGGAGCTGATGAAGGTTCAGTACTGAGATGGGCTTTACAGCCTGGTACAGAGATTAGGCTCCATCCCCATCTTCCTTACAAGGGATGGAGGTGGCTTAGGACAAATGGAACTGGTGAAGAGTGGAAATGGAGCATTGGTGAAGTCATGTTCAATGGGACTCCTGGGATCAATGGCAGCCAATTTCTAACCACAGGACACCCCTAGAGGACACAAGATTGGGGAAGAGCTCACACCCCAGGTAACTTTCTAAAGACATCTACTAGGGACTGAGTGATCAGTTCTCAACAGAGAGAATTCCAGTGTCATCTCAGGGCTTGGACCAGATGGCCTTAGTAGCTCCTTCCAACTCTGAGATGCCACAGCCTCCAAGTGGGAACCTCTGCAGGAAGAGGGTCCCTCAGCCTCAGGAGGTTAGGCTACACGGCAGGGTCTGGAGAGCTCCTGAGAACCCTGGGGCTCTCCTGATGTTCCTCCCAGTCCCTTCTCTCAGGGCTCCCAAGCAGGATCTTTAGGTACAGGCTCTGGGCCAGCCCATTGCAGCTGTGGAAGCCAAATCAGCCTTGAGTTTCCCAAGTGAAATCAGAGGCATCAGTCTGCACTTTCTGTAATAATTTCCACCTTTGCTTGAAAGAGCTAAGCATATGCAGTTTTCCAAACCACAAAGGAAGCAAACCAACATGCCAGAACTGGTAGGCCAGTTCCCCTGATGCATCCTGGAGAAGCCAGTCTTTTGGGGGAAGACATTGACAGAGCTTCCCCGTGACTACTTCTGACCTGGAATGTAACACCTCTGGGGGAGAGGACTTCTATATCTAGGCGTGCTAAGTCTGTGCCTACAAATCAGTACCTTGATGACCTGGTTCGTGGAAAAGGATTAGATAAGGAATTGGGGTGGGGAAGTCTGAATGAGTTCACCACAGGTTCAAGACAGGACACCAAATCTCTGTTGGGCACCTGGTCCAAACCAGGTATTTGACAAGTCAGGGAAAATTCTTGGGTCCCTGGGAGTGAGCTCCCTACAGACTTTTCACACTCTTTTCAGTAAATAATAACAAGACAGACATGGTTTCTAAACAAGTATTTTGCTTCCCAAACAATAATGATAATGGGCAAAGTCTAAATGTCAGAGACAGCCACCTCCCACACTAGGGAGAGTATGTTGCTGGGTTATTTCACCATTCAAGGAACAACAGGCATCAAAGAGGGAGAAAAGTGAGCCCGCCAGTCATCATCTGACATTTTAGCAGCTTTGTGATGTTATGACCAAATGTGATGAAGACAAGTCCATGAGAGCTATCAAACCATGAACAGAGCAGGGTGGGGGATGTGGGAGCAAGGCTGCGGGATGGAGAGGGTTGGGTGAACATGCAAGCAGGACAGTGGAAAGGGCCATCCAAAATGTTTTTGCAAAGAATACAAAGTAAGTTCTGCCCCTCATTTCCAGGCCAGATAATTCATTCCTGGAGGCTATGCCAGCAAATCACAGAGCTAAGTGTGACCGACCAAGATGGCCCCAACTCAGGCCTAAGGTTGGAGAAAACAATACGGAATGTGAAACAATTTAGATGACCATGCCCAGTCCTCAGCATGGCCTGGGAAACTGGGTGAAAGACAAAGGTGAGTGAGCCAAAAAACAAGTATACAGTCTTTAGAAGTGGTTTGGCTTTAACAACGACTTCACCGTATGTATGTTTATATATACTTGCCGCTACAATTTTCTAAAAATAAAACCAACATGAAAATCAATTAGGCAACAGAAAAGAAAGATCAACAGAGGTTGGGGGAGAGCACAGCAGGTTAAATATTGCAATAATGATGACTCATGGCAACTAAAAACAGCCAACAATGAACCGAGGGTGTTCATGCTCAGCTGACCTGGGAGCCCAGGTGACAAGCCAAGGGATATGATGTGAATTACCCCCCTGGGAAACTGTATGTGTGTGCAGTGAGGAGGGGCAGCATGAATCAAGTTCCACTCGTATATGTATATCATCAGAGGTTAAGGATATTTGGTCTTTTTGTCTTTGTACCTCCCTAAAGCCTAGCCCAGTGCCTACAAATGGTAGATGCCCAGTACATGTGTGTTGAAAAAGCAAATACACGAGAAGGCAGCCTTGAGCATTCCCTCTGTGGTCACAGCTTTACAGGGCTCCAGTACAGGAACACTGCGATCTCCTAAGGTGGTATTCTACTGGCCCAGGGTGGAGGACTGGCACTCTCACCAGTGGAGGAGAGTTTGGTCTCAGGCTACATCCAACCAGGGGAAAGGTCACTGACTGGAAGAACAGTATGGGAATGTTTACCAGCATAATTTTAAAGTCTAACTGAGTGCCAGGAACAGGCCTAATGAAAGCCTGCTTTGTACAGATGCCCCAATGTCAAATGCTGATTCACATGGACTTCTGTAGACCTGGCACATCCTGGCTGATGGAAGACGAAGAAGGACAGGATGGACATGCCGAGGAGCAAGGCTGGGCCAGAGGGAACAGGCCCATTGAGCACCTCCTGCAGCAGGAGGAGTAGCACCGTGCCACACACCACTGGCCAGCAGGTGCATCAGGCATTCAAAAGCTGGGCTGTCCATTTGGCGGACAAACCTTTGCCACATCCTGGTACCCAGAAACTAAGCATTTACGCCCCGCTCTGACTCACATAGGTCTGTGCCAGCATTTTCATTTACGTATACTCTGATGTAGATGGCAAGCGCAGCACTTTACACTGGGAGATGATTCAGCAGGAGACGTCTCATCGTGAACACTCAGGAGAGAGCCCATGGAAGCCAGTTAAGCTCCTGCTGTTCTCCCATTAGCATCAGATTGCTTTATAACCACACATCACATATGCTTTTTGAACTATGACAATTATATAGCTAACTTAAGGAATACCTCACATAAAGTAGAATTTACCTACATCTGATCTTATGGAGGTTGGGGATGTACGCATCTGGGTCACTCTTGTCATGGCATGAATTTGAGTGCAATGGGGCTTACATCACACCTCAGGGGCATGGGTCATGTCTTACAGTCCATTCACTTACTATAACATGGAAAACCTACACTTACAATAATGAGTAACACTTTGAGATTTTAGCAAACATTTTCACAAATATTCACATCATTTTATCATCACACCATACCTCTGAGGCAAGGAGGGCAGATATTATTTACCCCATATCACACATGAGGAAATTGAGGCCTGGGTTCAACGAGTCAGTTCTGGACTAGGACCGGAACTGCTGGGTCTTGGGATTGCCAGGCTGGTGGTTGTCCCACGAGTCTACACTCCAGAGTCAGACTGGCCCCCAAAGCAGAGGCATAAAGAATTTCACTGTCCTTATTTGATACAGGATGTCTGAGCACCAGGATGGACCTCAGAGTCCTGCAGATGTCAGCAGGCAAAGCGTGGTGGCCCCTTCTAGGCCAGGCGTGCGAGGCGGGGGGCTGGACTGGCACCATGGAGCAGAAAGCAGACACTGCACAACAGCCCCTCCATGCACTCCTCGTCCCTGGGAAGGGCCCTGCGCCACCTGGGCACACACCGGACACCCATTAAGACTTGCTGATGAACTGGTGGGCCATTTTTCCCTACCCCGGGCCCTTCCAGAGGTCATCCCAGAGGAGCCTGGCGGGAGGGGTGCTCTCCTTTCCTGAGTCCTTAATTGTGAAAGTGGTACACAGGATGCTTCCTGTGGGAGGTCCCTCCACCTTCTGTGCTGCTACTGTACTTTCCCCCATCAAATGGTTCCACCGAATATGACAATAGAGTGCTGACACCTGTCTCCTGATAAGTACTAGGCCCTCCCTCCCCTGGTCCTGAGCAGGCGGCAATCTAGGCAGCCGTCCAATCTGCATCAGCCTCTGGGAAGCTGGAAGGTGGGGTCTTCCCCAGTGTTATCAGTCGGACTCAGAAAAAGACAGGACTCAGGTGAGGACCCCACCGGCAGCGGCCACGTGCTCAGGGCGCGGCTGCGGGCTTTCTCTCCTGGGGCTTCACAGCACCATGGCGGGCATACGAGGCACACATCGTTAACTCCATTTTCAACTGGAAAAACTGAGGCTCAAAGCAGTCAGGTGACCTCCCAAGGTCACACAGCTACGGAGTGAGAATGTCCGTGTACTCACAAAAGTGATCATCGCCCCTTAAAACTTCAATGATCTCTTTAAATGTATTGTTTTAGTTCCAAAATGGCACTTTGAACACAATTTTTACTTCCCCACTTTCAGGGATCTGGGGGAGGCGTAGGGGAGGGGGGGACTACAAATTGCTCATAGTCTTCCAGACAGAAATCTACGTCTGAGTTTCTGATGTGTATAGGGATTCATGGGTAAGGTCTCTAGTCTCCTGTATGTTAGACTTAACAAAAACAATCACATCATAGGACACAAAGTTTGCTACTTACATTCACTTCAGTTATAGCAATATCAACGACGCTACCAACAACAATTAAGGCATCAAAAGTGTTCCATGCATCAGTGAAATAGTGCTGTTAGGGTGAGCATTCAGAAGACACAGAGGGGAGGAAGCACACCAGGAAAAAAGAAGAAAAGGACAGTGTTATAAAAGGGGAACATTCTAGAATCACACCACCCAGCTACTTGAAAAATGTGCCTTAAAACAAACATGTTACAGATATGTCAATCGGGGTATTGCTCTGACACAGCCAAGAAAAACAATTAGAGACACCCTATCTTACCTCTCCTACCAGTGACTTGAGTAAACGCTGCAAAAAGTCAGTGCTCCTAAAAAGGCCGTGGGGTAAAGCTCTGCCCTAAAACGCGTCTTTCAACTCATCTCTTTTCCACAGCCGTCGTTAGGACATTCCTAGTTTTAGACCAAGTGAAATTGGGACCTGTGACTTGTCCAGGTGATGCCACTGCAGGGCAGGGAGCAGAATGTGCACAGACAGAGGCAAGAGGACACAGAGGCGGTGGGCGGCCAGGGCCGGTGCATACTCACGTCCGCTTCGCTGAGGGCCACGTCTATAATGCTGCCGATTACGATGAGGGAGTCAAACGTGTTCCAGGCATCACTAAAATACCCCTGGACAGAGCAGGCGGGGGCAGATGTTCATGAGCACATATGTATAAAACACCACACGGACCATATGGGGACACATCCAAGTCCCTGCAGTCCCCATGGCAACCAGGCAGGGTGGGAAAGCCAAAGGGGAGGTGACAATACTGTCCACTGGTGGAAAGGGGCACAGAGGGGTGGCTGTGCACCGGTATGTGTGAGAAAGAGCACACATACACACACACACACACACACACACACACACACAAACACTGCAGCCCCATGATTCTGCGAAGCACCAAACCAAATTGAATGTCTGCAGGGCTGAAGCAACATTTGGACGACCCTACCCCGGCACCTACAGTGATGACCTAAAGCCCTCATGAGCTGATGGAAGAGTAAGGCTCTCCCACTCCTTCCACAGGACCTACCATCACTCCACTTCCTTACCTTCTCCCACTTACAGAGAACTGTGACCAGGCATTTCACACCTTCTCATTTCTACAGATAAGCAGACAATCATCCTTAAACCAGCAACCCTTCCCCTTCATCACCAGTCCAGCAAGTACTACAAAGTGTGTACCCTGCGGCAGGTTGACAGAGCCAAGTCCCTGTCTTCGAAGAGCTCTGGGTCTAACAAGGACACAGACATATGGGTAACGGCTTACATGAGGATGGGCACAGTGATGTTTCCCGGTCTGAGATACAGAATTAGGGCAGAGAAACTCGCTCTGGGGGTGGGGATGGACGGCTCAGTGTAGGGAACTCAAGGCAGGTTTTATAGAGGAAAAGGGTATTGAAGGATGAAGAGGATGTTCAACGGCTCTTCACTGTCCTTGAGAGAAGCCCCAAAATGCCAACAGGCTCCTTCTTCCACCTCAACTTTCATTCGTTTTCCCTCCTCCTTCACCCTCTAGCCATAAAGGACTCCTTTCTTTCCCTCAAAAATACCACCAGGTTCTTCCCCACCTCTTGATGCCTCTGTAATCCTAACCTCCTCACCCCAACTCTGTACATCCAATTTCTCTCCCTCCTTCAAGGCCAGATCAAGTGCCAACTCCTTGATGCTTTTCAGACCCTCCTGATTTGCCCCTCCTCACTACTGCGTTGACTCTGTATCTCATGTATTCACCACTAAACTTTGGGTCTTTGTCTGCAGGTCTACCCCACTGAAAGCCCTCAGAGGATGAGGACTGGCTATTTATGCTGTCCCACCTCCAAGCCCACTATCTAGCCCGGGGCCTTGAACCTAGTTAGTGCCAGACACATTGAGACATCTCTTTCTTCAACAAACGTGAACCCTACTGGGCATTTGCTTTGCCTGGATCTTGTTTTTTCAGGTCCTCATATCTTATAGGAAGGCTGAAGGGGCATCATTTCTATTACTGCGACTTACAAATCTATACATATGTGTCATACAATTTACATCTTCTGGCCTTAGCACATTAGGTGCGAAATTAGTGCCTGCTGTCTCCCAACACCACTGGGAAGCCCCTGATCAGAGGGAGTGAGAGGGAAGTACCGTACACAGAGCCGGAGGTTTCTGGTTTCAAGACAAAGACTGTCAAGGTCAACAACTCTGTCTATAAACCAACTGGGTCTTTTCAAAAAGTTATAACATGTTTTGGAAATAAAAATTCGGGTCTGAATTATATAAAAAGGGGCCCGGAGTGCTTACAACCTCGTACATTCAGTGCTATTTAAAGAAAACCACAACAGAAAGTACTTTGAAGTGTCAGGTCTCATGAACTTGTGATCGAATGCAGGCCTGGAGGAAGCCACTGCAGAGCCCCTGCCTGTTGTGACACCACAGAAAATGTGCACATGTTGGCTGTCCTAATAACTGGAATAGGAGTGTTTTTCTTAGTTACTGCGAATCACTTCAGGTACATTTGCAGGGGAGTCATGACACTGTGATTTTTTTAATTCCATTTTAAATAATACAAGACTTTCCCACCCAACTACCCTGATTTCTGATCTGCTCTGTCTTCCCCCTTTCACACTTTACCACAGCGACCACCACCCTTTCAGACTCCTATCTCAGCCATCTCACAGCTACGCAGAAAGAACCAGCCTGCACTGACTCTAGCAATTTGTGCATAAAAGTCTCATGGGAAGGCCTATTTATAAAAGACTACATCTCACATCTTTTAGCTTTTCTTCTCATGAATTCATGACTCTTGGCTGGAAAAACTGATGACAGATAGGCCACCTTTGAGGTCTAGACTAATGCTGCTCAACATTCTGGTCAGAGATGAGATAAAGAGCTTATACTAGGACATAAAAGAACATACTGCTTCCTTCACTGAGGAAGTCTTGTCACAAAAAGTCAGCTGAATCAAGCAGTGCGCTTCTTGTTGTAGTTGATGTACCTGGGTCATAAGCAAGCTGTGCCCTCTTTTATATTATTTATATAGTCATGGACCGGTCACAAACAGTTCACTAACTGGCAGCTGTGCCATAGACTATACTTTGAGGGACAAAGCCTGCCCTTTTCTTCATGGATTTAATAGCATCTCAAAAGCTGAGGAGAGTGTGGTGACCCCCTCCTCTCCGCTAGATAGGAATTTATGCCTTAATTATATACTTGCTTATTAGTAGCATGTACCACCCTTGCCTGCATCTGTGTATTCTGCCTCTCTCCTGTTACATTCATGACCCACCCCGCCCACATCTGTACCAGACACTCTGCTTCTCTTCTGTGGCACATGATCCTACCAGAGGCCAAACCTACCACTTTTGCACTGAATGCCATCTCCTCTCACCTACTTTGGGATTTCATTCTTAGATAGCTTCCCTCTCTAGGATGATCAATTTTCTCACATTTGAGTCATTCCCATCAGCCTACAAATTATTCTCCACTGAGGCAATTCCAGCCCACTGTGGTATAAAAATCACTTTACACTGCCACAGCGTGGGCTAACATCTCTTTTGGTTCAAGTAACCTACTGGCAACCTCATCAACTCTCTATCTGGAAAATCCCTCACACTCACGAAACTGTGCAAATTCTATAGGGCTCGTGGACCAAAGGCTGATACTCCCAATCTTAAGTGGCAAGAGGCTTGAGTTGGTGCAGGTGGCTTGAATCACAGGCTCTGACCAGGTGGCTCTGCCAGGGGCTCAAGGGAGCAGGAAATGCCAGCCCTCCCTTTCTTCCCACACGCTGTTTCCCTGTTTAGTAGCCTCCTATTTACTAAAATCACTGTCAAGTGAACATGACTCAGTTCCCCCACCCCTTTCTCACCAGTCACAAGATACAAAGTAACTAGAAGATCAGACTTGGGCGCCTAGCAGAGAGCCCTCTCCTCTTGGCCAATGATGATGTATTCTCCTACAACTAAATCCTTTTTTTTAAAAAATTTAATAATAATTCTTTTTATTGTACTTTAGATGAAGGTTTAAAAGCAAACTAGTTTCTCATTAAACAATTAATACACGTATTGTTTTGTGACACTGGTTGCCAACCCCACGACATGTCAACACTCTCCCTTCTCAACCTTGGGTTCCCCATTACTAGCTTTCCTGTTCCCTCTTGCCATCTAGTCCTTGCCCCTGGGCTGGTGTTCCCATTTAGTCTCATTTTGTTTTATGGGTCTGTCTAATCTTTGGCTGAAGGGTGAACTTCAGGAGTGACTTTATTACTGAGCTACAAGGGTGTCCGGGGGCCATACTCTCATGGTTTCTCCAGTCTCTGTCAGACCAGTAAGTCTGGTCTTTTTTTTTTCTTTTGTGAGTTAGAATTTTGTTCTACATTTTTCTCCAGCTCTGTCTGGGACCATCTATTGTGACACTAGTCAGAGCAGTCAGTGGTGGTAGCCAGGCACCATCTAGTTGTGCTGGACTCAGTATGAACAACTAAATTCTGAGGCCAGGGCCCCTTTAGTCAAATTTTTATTATTTTTTGTCCAGCTCCACCTGCCTGAAAAGACCAAACAAGTCGACCACATGTAAAAACATTTATTACTCAGAAACGTGTCTGACTCTGGAAATTTAAAATCATCAACCAGACTAATGTTGACCTTAGGGTCAGGAAGCTCTATCATCTTCGAGAACCCTATTGTGATTGTCAGTGTCTGTCTCCTGACAGACTGTGGTTCTAGAAGGCAGATCCTGGGTTCGGACTGTTCCCGGAACCCCAGGACATAGCACAGGCTTGGCATGTGGTGGGGGACAATGTTTGTGGTATGGTTGGGAATGGGAGCAAAGAAAGCAGCCCCAGTCCAGGTTCTCGATGCCTGATCCTCTCTCCTTTACAGATCTGAAGAAGCCCACACAAACGACCTGCCTTTTGTTGTTTACTACAGCAACCAGATCACTTACCAATTTCTGCCAGGGATTGTTCGGGCAGTATTTGACCCAAGTGATGATTCACAGCACCGACTCTTGGTAGAAACTCTAACTGGCACCTTTCTAACCAGCACAAGCCTTTCCAAAGGTCAAATGGGGACTTAAAGGAAAATGTATTCAATTTTGTCCACTCTGCTCTGTCCCCTATGTCCAAATGCCCTATGATAGAAAAACAGGCAATGTCTCAAGCCAACTCAAGAAGCTGCACCTACAGGCTCATTCATTTATTCCTTTCTTCATTCTACCAGTATTTACTGAGTAACTGCCATGCAGTGGGCATTGTATTAGGGTAGGCACTGGGGACCCAAAGATAAAGAAGACCCAACCCATAAACTCAAGCAGCTGCTCATCAGCTAACGCAGAGACAGAAATGGAATAATACTGATAATGATACTTCATGGTAAGCATCTAACAGATGCACTTGCAGAGGGAAGGGCTGCCTTTGGCTGGGACGGGAGAGATGGTGTCACAGAGGAGAGCACATCTCAGGCAGGCCTTAAAGGACGATGACGTGGAAAGAAGGGCTTCCAAGCAGAAGCATGCGGGCATACAAAGGTCTAGCACGCTCAAGACCAGTTGGGAAAGAGGTAGCGAAGAGGGAATGGCAGGAAGTGAGGCAGAAATGTAAAGGGGGCCAAATAGTGTGTGGTAGAGGGTTTTAAAAATTAGAGCAAGCAATAGGTGGCCAGTGGCAGAATTTCATCAGAAGAGTAGCATGCTCAGCTTCAGGTTTACAAAGGGAGTGTAGAGGATGAAGGGAAAGAGGCTGTAGCCAGAGGCAGGGAGATCATTCAGAAAGCAGTCAGTCTCAGGAGAGAGGACAGTGGTATAGGTTTGGAGGACTTGGAGATGGCCACTGAAGCCCTGGGGATGTGAACATTTTACAAGGTGAGAAGGGAAGGCACAGACTGAGGGGATGAAGCCTATGAAGAAACCAACATAAAGTTCTAGTACAGACAGGAATATTTGGTCTCAAGCGTTACTTGGCATTAAAACAAATGACCTAGAAAACATATGATCACTGAAGACCTGAAAGGACAGTATCAAAATTTCCTTCCAGGAGATGGAGAATGTATGCTAGGAAGATTGCTGGCGCTTTATTATGGAGGCTTGTTCCTCTCAGAGACCTGGGGCAGGGAGTACTACCCTGGGAGCAGACAGGACCAGATGACCCAGTGCCACTAAGCATCAGCTCTGCCCAGAAGCACGAGGACAGCACCAGAATACTCTCTTCTTCCTCCAAACCCCACTGTTCTTTACTTTTTCCAAGCTGAAGGGGCTAGGAGTGTAAATAAGACATTTTCAAGGTAGAATCAAAATCAAAATGCTTTAAAGACTAAGACTCAGCAACAAAGTGTGGCTTGATGGAGAACAACCCACAACCAAGGCAGGTAGCCTGGCCCAGAACACATGTTGGACAAAACACCAGAAAAATGATACCTGAAAGCCTGGGGAGAGAACTTGAGACAAACCAGGACCTTCTCTGACTCCACAGAAATGCTCTTTATACCTGCTAGAGCCAGTACTTTGGCAAAGGCCCTTCCTCCTGAATCTCCCTCCTTGGAGCAAGAGAATTCATTGGACAATTCCAGTGGCTTCCCCTGGGTACTGGAGGGAAAGGCAGGGGGAATGTGGCTTGTTTCTTACCTAAATTATGGACTACTTTTCAAAGCCCTATGGGGGCATGGTCAGCTCCAAGTAGAAAGCACAATCTAGAGTGCATAAGGTCAGTTCCCAACTGGTGGATCTTCCCTTGGGGAGCAGATACAAGAAATAACCTGCTTGCTTTTCCCTCATTCTTTTTGTCTTTGGCTTCTCAGCACCTTCTACTCTTGCCTGCCCTGTGCTCACAGACAACTCCTCCCATGAAATAACACTGCCTCCTCCACCGTGCCGATTCTGCTTCCTGCCTCCATCCCCCTTCCTCCTAGCTTGTAGATGCTGGGCAATCTTACCTCACTCTTTTCTTCCAAACGTGTTCTCTCCTAGAAGACCCCACTCCTCAGTCAGCTTCCCTAATTAAAAGTAGTAGTCAGGGTCAGGTTTCTCAACTGTTTCTAGCCCCTGTCCCCCAAAATGCCTTCTCATCTACCAGTAAGAATTTTGTCTAGCTTTATTTTCTGTATTTCTATTACAAAACAAATTATACTACAACCCTTTTCTCTCCTAACAGAGATGCTGAAAAGATGCCCCAAGGGAGCCTGGAAAGGAGGCCCTTTTACAAAACTCCTCACAACACTGGAAGACTTTCTTGAGAAGAAACTGAAGGGCCAGGGTTTCCCAATCCTTTGGTCCATTGGCCTTCCTCTTGGAACACTCTTCCCTTTGTAACTTTTACAACACCATTCCTCAGCCTGACTATCCCACCAATTAGGAAGGCGTGAGGCCTCACTGACTTCTACGGGAATGACCGTTCACTTAGGTTTGATTTGTTAATACTGAAGTGAAGAACAAGAAAAAATGTCAGGAAGGGTTTTACGATAAGCTTTACTTCTTGGTGAACTGACTCTCTGACTCCTCTAGGCACATAACAGGAGAAAAATCTATCTACCCTGGCTTCAGCGAACATAGCAACAATGCTCTTCAAGCACACAAATGCTGCTAGTGTTGTTTTAAAATTTCTCTCAATTGTAATCTGAGGTTATCTTAGGCTACCAAAATATCTTGCTGAGTAAAACGACAAAGAAGCACAATTTCCAGCGGAAATCATCCATTTTAAAATTCTGATCTACCAGTGGTGATTATGAATTAGCCACTCATTTCCCCCTTGGTATCACTGATCTGCTCTCACGTCACTGAGCTCTCCTTGGTTTGGTATCAGCAATTTACTGGGAAAAGCCGTGTGCTACCAGATAACCGATGCAATGGTCTGCCTAGAGGGGCGCGCGCACACACACACACACACACACACACACACACACACACACACACACACACTCTCTCTCTCTCTCTCTCTCTCTCTCTCTCTCTCTCTCTCTCTGTGGGTGAGCATGCTTTCTCCTCCACCTGGAACAAGCTTTCAGAACTTCTGGAGCTTAATCACTAGGCGAGGGAAGACATGGCACAGGGGATCTAGGAAATGTTCTGACTGTGTTTCTCAAGTACTTTCAACACTCTTACTTTACAACCTTTCCATCAGTACAGACAAATATTGTTCAAAGGAGTAAAGGTGAGAGGGAAGCAAACCAAAATCTCAAGGGAAATTAAGATGAATTTGGAAAAGGAGGAAATTTTTATGTACGTAGATATGGACAAGTCACAGTAAATAACATCTGGCCATGCATGAAGTGCCAAATTTGACCCCACTGCAATCACCCCAATTAATCACTTACTAGTGCCCTTTCTTTTTGGTCCACAAAGATCTGATATAGATTGCATAGAAATTAATTCAAATTAAAGAAAGGAAGTTTTGAATTAGAATTCCATGTGACTATGGAGTACATGAAACCATCCGTTGTATACATATTGCTTAAATTAGTGTCATCGGATGCCTTACGTACAGTCAGTTAAATAACTGGGTCACTGAACTCTGTCATTCTCTAACTCGGCTCTGGTTTATAAGAAACTGAAGGTCAGGAGTCCCAGAGCTCAGCCAGGATTTGCTCCTCTGCCTAAGGTTTTAGAATGAGGGAACAGCGCTGCTTGATGATGATGGTGATGGTGACGGTGATAGGAGCAGTAATTGACACCTGAATAGCATGGCACTACATGCCAGGCAGTCTTCTAAGCCCTGCACATATAATTCTCTACTTCTCACCACAACCCTATGAAATAGGGCTGTTAGCATCCTCATTTTACAGAGACTTCGTATGCTAAGTAGTCTAACACAGCTGAACAAATTTCACGTCTTGCTTTGTTTTAAAGCAAAACTTTTTCTGAATTAAACAAACAAAAGACCTTGAAGCAGTCTAGGGGATCCTGGTTTCTCACTTGGTATGGGTGAGAGGTCTGCAGCTGGTATTACAACTTGCCATAAAAGGTGTAAAGAATGCTGTAGACCAAGAAGAACAAATACAACCAAAGTCTTTATGCTGAAAATCTGAAAGTGAAATCAGAGCCCAATTCTATTCTTGCTGATGGGTTATGTTAAAAATTTACTTTTTCCAGGGCTCAAGTAATGAGGCAAGTTTCCCTGAGACAGCATGATCATGCTGTTCTAGAAACAGAAAATTAGGTTTTGAAACAATCTCCCTTTTACAAATTCCCAATTCTCTCCTCCCTCCTTTTTCTCAGAATTGTTTTTTTGAGGTTTTGTTTTGCAGATTTATTTTCCCACATATGTACAGATGCCCTAATCAGATTTCAGTGTTCTAAGGTGATAACCCCATTAGTGACTAGAGCAACTCAGCATAACACAGTAACACAAGACTAACAGGAAGAGGGTCCTTCTCTGGGGTGATTCAGCAGCAGCCTTTGAAAAGAGGGTTCAGCAACTCACCTTAGGTTTAAATGCAATGACTTTCAAAACCATCTCAACGGTGAACACCCCGGTGAAGACCATGTTCAGAATGTCCATGGCGTCATTAAACATCTTAGACTGCTCATAGTGCTATCGAGGAAGACAGAGGCACAGGTCTCAGATGCCTACTCCAGAGACGTGGCTGCAATTTGACAGACTCCTAGAAGAAGGCTCCCCAGCCCTCTAAGACCCTGCAGGTGTCCTGTGCTCAGATATGGAGGCAACCTCTCCCACCCACCACCCTCCACCAATGGTTCAATTTGATGGGCACTGAGAGGTCCCATGGCTAACTCCCCACAAACTGCTAACAGTCCTTGACAAGATGAAGATGAATGGGAAAATTATGATCTAATGATACGGGGGAAAATACATCCATTTTCTCTGTTAAGGACAAAAAGAAGTCACCCTTTCTTCAGGTAGCATTTATATTTCAGGCCTTCACCAAGACACTATACAGATACCACCAAATGTCTGTGGATAAAGGTAGAATTTGGTTATGGATAAACTACGCCATTCACATTAATGGCTTTAACATAAGCACCAGTTTATGCTTAATAAAAGGTGGTATTACGTTGAATTCACATTTTTCCCCAGCACAAACACTACCAGCATATGGTCCCTCTCATTCATAAAGAATTCTTAAATTTAAGAAAAGTTCCAGAAAATTTTTCCTTGACTATCCTTAGACCTTAAGGCTATGGGGGTTCAGTGGTAGAATTCTTGCCTTCTATGCAGGAGACCTGGGTTCAATTCCCCGCCAATGTACCTCAAGTGCATCTACCACCTGTCTGTCAGTGGAGGCTGTGTGTTGGTATGATGCTGAACAGGTTTCAGCAGAGCTTCCATCTAAGACAGACTAGGAAGAAAGGCCTAGCTATCTAGTTCCAAACATCAACAAATGAAATCTCTATGGATCACAATGGTCTGATCTGCAACCTATCATGGGGATGGTGCAGGACTAGGCAGTGCTTCTTTCTGTTGTTTATGGGGTCGCCATGAGTCAGGGGCCAACTTGACAGCAGTTAGTAACAGTAACAACATCCTTAGACCCATTTTTCAGACAGCACCGAGGGGTAATTTGATTTACTCAGGTTCTTAAAAGTGGCTAGAAAACTCTATGGAGACCTTAGTCTCTGCATCCTGTCCTAGTGCAGTATCTACTGGACAACATAACTTCTAGAAATGTACACAGTTGATACCACGCTGTCATCAACTCGGCCAATTAAACTGAGTAGTGTTGTTGGATCCCACTGTGAGCAAGAAGTAACTGTAATGCAGGTCAAGTATTGATTCTTCATGAACTGGGAAATTCTCCACCACCATTCTGAGAGCTCCTTAAGGATGGGAATGTGAGTTATTTTCTTTTTCAGCACTGGTGTTCACTCTGTCAGTCCCAGGGCTAAGTGACTAAAATGGATTATCTAGTTTGACCCTCATCTCTGAGGTATGCAACAGACATCCTCATTTCACCAATAAAGAAAGCAAGGTTCAACAAATTTAAGTAACTTTCCCACAGGCAGCCAGCTGGTAAGGAGTAAAGTTAGAACTGGAACTTCTAACTCTAGAGCCTGAGTCCTCAACAGCACCTGGCCACAGGAGGTCCACAGTAAATGTTTATAGACTTGGATGCCACACTCAGTCTCCATAAAAATGTTACCTACCATCATACTGTACAGATGGTCTCATAAACAAAGAGCAATCTGAAACTCCTACCATGACAACTGTTAACTAGCATGGAGCTCTGGACAAACTATAGCCCAGACTCATCAGAAAATCAACCCCATCCTTTTGCAAGCAGGGTAGCATTCTATCCTCAGAATCTGGGCATGGGGCTGTGCAGAATGCCCCAGACATGATCCCCACAGCTGTCTCCATTTTTACCTGCATGGCCAAGCAGAGTGTGTTGAGCATGATGAGGACAAACATCATGTATTCAAAAGGCGAGGAGTTCACCACATACCAGAACTTGTACTGGTAGGGGTTTTTGGGGATGTATCTCCGCAAAGGTCGGGCTTTCAAGGCATATTCAACACACTGACGCTGCAATGGCAGAAAAGAGCAGAAACAGGGTTCTGAGCATGTCTATGGAAAGAGGACACAGTTCACATCTTCTCTGAAGGGCCCATGGATGACGGTGCGAACGGCTATGAGCAACCACCCTTCCTCCCACTGGCACCGCTGAGTCACTGGGGAAAGTCCCCCTTCCTTTACCTCATCTGATCCTCGTAGCAACCTTGGGGGTAAGCGGAATACCCATTTGGCCCCCATTTCACTGATTAAAAATTGAGGTTCAGAGCTTTTAACTGTCTTGCCTGAGATCCGACAGTGAACATACAGAGGAGTGAGGACCTGACTCCGGCCTTAGGATTCCCTTTCTTCTCTACTGGTGGATTATGTCTCTAGTTTTCATGCTTATTCTGTTACCCATGAAAGGAAGCCAAATAATGAGAGGCACAGAAATCCTCAAGAACCAGAGGGGCTAGGATCACTCCCTGAGGCTGGCAGCCCCCGGCTTCTGCAGGCTGAAGCTACATGAAGCACCTCTCAGGACGTGGAATGAGTTAACCATAAGCACCCTACGGCACACTATCTACGTGTCCATCCAGGAGCTTTTGAGGCTAGGGCCCCTGTCATGCTCATCCCAGAATACCCCGCGTACTGTCAGGAACAACAGCTGAATTGAAGGCAAGTGGGGATCTAGCCAGAGCACTCTCTTTCCCACTCACTCTGGGGACTGAGGCTGGTCTACTCTGTTATCAAGCTCAGAAAGTGCCTACAGTCCTGAGAGCCTTCAGCTCAGCACCAAGGTCCTACTTGTTCCTAGAGTCTAGACCTGCCACCCACTTTCCTGCTTTGAATCTCAGTTATGACTTCAGATGGGAACGTGGCCCTGCTCTGACCTCACATTCTGACTCCAGGAATCCCCTACTCGAGCCTGTTCTGGACCTCAGGTGATGGAACACTTATAGCATTTGGCTAGGCCTGCTGTCCTGGGCCTGAGTCTTGCCCTGATACTCTTTTACCTTGGGTGGGCAAAAAGCTGGTCCAGGCCTTTCTCTGACTGTCACTGTGGAATCTGCAGGGACACCGGACAACTCAAAGTAGTATCTTCCTACAAGCCAAGCAAGCACTGCCCTGACATTTCCATGAGAAGGTCCAAGTGCATCACAGGACAAACTGCCTCATCATACCACAGTCACTTCCCCTCAGGGAGCCCAGGCTGGCAGATCATTCTTGCCCACTAGGTCATTATCAAAACAAAGATAGAGAACCAGATGTGGGACTCCCAGAACGGAATCTAGAACTCTCAGACTCTTTTTAGGTAGGACTGAAATGAACCTCTAAACAGCAACTCCTTAATGCCCTCAACTTAGAAAAAAGGGAGCAAGCCCCAGATGCACCCGCAGTTACAGAGCAGGCCCAGGTAGAGCAGGACTAGAACTCAGGTCTCCTGACTCCCTCGCGTTATCGTGTAATCAGAGCCAAGGGCCCCTACTTCTATCTTACCGGCAAAAACAAAATGGATAAAGAGTGAATGATGCCAGTGCTATCTTAGTCCCAAGTTTAAAGTTAGTGACTTTGCTGTGGTGTTACAGGGCACTTCCCCCAACTCAGTGGTTCTTAACCAGGGGTGATTTTGCTCCCCAGGGGACATTTGGAAATGTCTGGAGTTATTTTTGGTTGTCACAACTGGTGGGAATGCAACCAGCATTTAGTAGGCAGAGACCAAGTATGCTGCTAAACAGCCTGCAACGCACAGGATGCACAAGAACAAATTATTCAGCCTGGAATCTCAACAGTGCCAAGGTTGAGACACCCTGCCCTAAGTGGATATAAAAGATTGACTCCTAGTAGGGACTGTGGAAGTTTGGGTGGGTGCTTCCTGGCCCTTGGGCATACCACTCAATAAGATTCTAGGCTGTCACTGGTAGGTCATGACCACAGAAGGTAACCTAAGCCTTCTATGATTTCTCACCCACAGCTATGGGAATAGATTTCATAAATACGAAGTCTAATATGTATCTGGAAACCTATCTCTCAGCAGTGAGGACTCGAGCTGACTCAGAATGTGCTTTGAACAGGGCCCAAGCACCAGGGACAGACAGTAGGTGGGCGCCCCTCTCTGTGCATGGGGGAGAGCAGTCAGAAGAGAAGGCACTGCCTTCTTGCTCAAGGGACAGAAGCCCAAACAGTGTGTGACTTTAACCTGATTTTTGTCCAGCTCACAGTTCTTATACTCTTTTTCTCCCTGCTCCTGAAATGTAACGATGACAAAACCCACAAAGATGTTCATCATGAAGAAAGCCACAATGATGATGTAGATGATGAAGAAGATGGAGATCTCCACGCGGTAGTTGTAGATCGGGCCGATGTTCTCGCCATTTGAATCAATAGCTTTATACAGCAACCTGGAGAGCAGAAAAACCCAGTGAGCACCTGCCAACCCCACTCGGCCCAACAGCCCAGCCCTGCTGCCTTCCCAGGCATCTTCCTCTCCTGTACTCTTTCTGTGAAAAATAACTGTCGAACTCCTTGCTGGGAACCCACTCTGAGGCCCCTGGACATAAGCCAAGCATCTGGGGCTTCCTTCTTAGCATCAGTTCCAGTCAGCCCAGCACCTAGAGGAGAGAGCACCTGGGACGTGTTATTTGACTGTCTTGAGGACTGAAAAGACTTCACAAATATCCAGTAACATTCCTTTCCATTCACAGGTAGAAGAGCAGCTCATGTAAGACACTGGTGGAACTGAAAACTGTATATACACTGGTAAAGACAACAAGCAATCAACCAGGTTATCTCCGAAGAACTAAGAGAGGTTCTCCAAACTCAACTATGCACTAAAGCTAAATATATGTCCAGCAGAACTCTTAACAGGAAGAGGGAAACTATTGTGACACTCAAAATTTCATTCTGATGTAAATCCAACACTTCTGGGGCCTCCGCCCCATGGGCAGCACTGTGCCAGGCACTCTCATGTCCTCTCACTTAATCCTCACGTTCAGCTGGAAAAGCAGGCCTTACTATTATCCTCATTTCATGGAAGTCCGGAGAGGGAACTAAGTGTGCAAGGTCACACATCCTCAATGGCAGAGTCAGGAGATGAGCCAAGTTCCTCTGGATCTCAAGTCCTAGGTTTGTTCCATTACCCCTCAGCTGCCACCCTGATTTGCTAAAACACAGTGTTCAAAACCTGAGGCTGCAGCCAGTGCCTCTATAGAATGAAGGGTCTAACTCCATGCCTCTCTTCTCCCCAGGACCAATTCCCTAATGAACAAGCCCTGCCCTTTACTACACTGGAACACCTGCAAATAGCCCTGACTCTCACCTGTGTCCAAAGCACTCCGCCAGCCTGAGGGGACTACACTGTCCACCTGTTGCAGTTCCTCTGGATGCAGAAACCTGACATTCAGGATGCTGATGTACATATACGTTCTGATGGCAGGAGCTGGTGGTGTTTGGGAGACTTCATAGGGCAGAGAGTAACATAAGGATACGAGAGATGCTCCCGTGCGTATTCTACCTTCCACTTTTTATCTTTATTCTTCTTTCCATTTTTCTTACTTTACCTACCAAATTCCTAGCCATTCTATTCTGTGCATCTAGGATACACCATACCCTCCTGTCTGGTTGGACCACTTGGTATCCTGACTAGATTTCGACTCTTTAATGGGGGGAACCATGCCTATATAACTCTGCTTCTTCCACACAACATTCCTCATAGAATTTCATAATACAGCATGTTGTATGGAGCAGATATCAAGAGCATGTTTTATGGATGAGTGAGTACATCAGTGAAAGAAATGGCACAATGGCACCAGTCGATGCCAAACATGTATTAGTACTCAATAAATACCTACTGAGTGAAGGAATGAATGGATGAATGAATGGTTTGGGATACTATCAAGATCCTCTTTAGGAAGAGTGGGATGGTGGCTTTACTGACATGAGAGTTTTCATGGCAAATGGGGATTCCCCAGTCCCATCCGGACAGGCTCCTCAGGAGCTAATTGAGAGGCCTGGGACCTATACCATTGCTGCTTCAAAAATCCAGGGAGTCCTGCCCGTTGATCATAAAGGTTAGTAATTTACCTAATGATAAGAGGAGTCCTATGGGCCAAGAAGGAACCCTGGTGGCACAGTTCTTAAGCACTCAGCTGTTAACTGAAAGGTCGGCGGTTCGAACCCACAAGCCACTCTGCAGGAGAAAGCTATGGTAGTCTCTTTCCATAAAGACTGCAGCCTTGGAAACCCTATGGGGCAGTACTACTCCATCCTATGGAGTCACTATGAGTCAGAATCAGTTCAGTGGGAATGGGTTCGGTTTTTGGTTTATAGGCTAAGAAGTGATTGACAAGCAGCTCAAAGTTAAAAAATCATAGGGAGGAGGGGCGGGGCCAAGATGGCAGAGTAGTCAGACACTTGCGGTGGACCCTCTTACAACAAAGACCTGAAAAAACAAGTGATTCAATTATATATGGCAATCTGGGAGCCCTGAACATCAAAGGCAGAGTTGCGGAACTGGACTGAGTGGCAGGGGGAGGGAGAGACAGTTCGGAAGCAGCGAGGAGGTGCCAGACCTGACCCAGCAAGAGCCTGAGCCCTTCAGGCCTGAGTAGCTCGTGGGTGAGTGGTGAGGTAGGCAAGTGGCAGTGCTAGGGAGGCACATTTTCCGCATCAGGAGAGACCTAGCACCAGAGAGTCTACACGGCCACCCAGAACCAGTGAGAAGCAGCCCTCATCAGCAAAAGATAAGTACTTGTGTACGGCTTATTGCAGGGATCAAAAACACCCCCCTTAGGGAAAAATCTCTCTCCCATTTACCTCCCTGCTCCCTACTCTGCACTGGGTCCCAGACCGGCTTCAGAAAAATGCCCTCCCCTGGGCCGGAAGTAGGATCCGTCACATGCCCAGAGTCATTCTCCCTGCCTTGGAGAGTGAACAAATTAACAAACGGTGAAAAAATAAACTGCCGGCTCCCCTAACCCAGGAACCCAGGGTAGGCACAGCTCCTTTGCCTAGGCACAGGCATAAGGGATCCACGGACTTTGAGTGCCTTTCCCCTGCATAGACTGGTGTGGGCCCATCTCAACAGCACAGGCCCTCATTACCACAGTACAACAGGGTATATACTGGAACTCTAACTTCAACTGTTTCAGCTGTGAAGTGGCAGGTTTGTGATACTTGACACTGCTCTGCCCATTAAGCAGGGTTTTCACCTACCCACTTCAGGGGCATGAGGACCGGTGGCTCCACCCACACAACCTAGCCCCTGTGATACGGGCCGATGAATAAGAGGTGCCCCAAGTCCTTACAGCCAACAGCATTAGATGTTCATAGTCTGGATGCAAAAACCACCTACCTATGTGCTCTAGGGAACAGGGACACACCTCCCTCCTGGACACTCGGGGGATGGCCGTCAGCCCTCTGCCTTGTTCAGAGTGTGTCCCCCTGCTGCAGCCAGATGCCTGTGCCTATACCAATCACCTATGTCTGTCTAGGACTGTAAGTAACAGCCTACATCACACACTTGGTGGCTATCTACCTGGGCACCTGAGCTGAATCCATACAGGAGGAGTGGGCGGACTCCTGAGCTCACTTACCTAGTAACAGACCTAACCACCTGGTGACAGGACATGAGAGCTTCAAAGGTGCCCATAATCAAACTAGCTCATATGAGTAGCCTATTTGGGCATATCGAAACAAAACAAGAAGCTAGGACACAGTAAGCAAACATAAAATAAATAAATATAATAACTTATTGATGGCTCGCAGACAACAGTCAATATCACATCACATAAAGAGGCAATTCATGATGGCTTCAGCAAGCTCCCAAAATAAAGAACCTAGAAATTATCCAGAGGAGGAAAATTTCTTGGAATTACCAGAGGCAGAATATAAAAGATTAATACACACAACTCTTCAAGAAATTATGAAGGAAATTAATCAAAACACAGAACATGCAATAGAGGAAATAAAAAAGATTAGAGAAGAGCATAGTGACAAATTTAACAGGCTACAAGAATCCATAGGAAGACAGCCATCAGAAATCCGAAGATGAACAATAAAATTTCAGAATTAGCCAACTCAACAGAAAGTCATAGGAGCAGAATTGAGGCAATGGAAGTCAGAATTAGTGAGATGGAAGATAAAGCACTTGGCACCAACTTATTTGAGGAAAACTCGGATAAAAGGATTTAAAAAAATGAAGAAACCCTAAGAATTATGTGGGACTCTATCAAGAGGAATAACCTACGAGTGATAGGAGTACCAGAACGGGGCAGGGGGGATAACAGAAAATACAGAGAGAATTGTTGAAGATTTGTTGGCAGAAAACTTCAGTGATATCATGAAAGATGATAAGATATCTATCCAAGATGCTCATCAAACCCCACATAAGGTAGATCCCAAAAGAAAGTCACCAAGACATATTATAATCAAACTTGCCAAAACCAAAGATAAAGAGAGAATTTTAAGAGCAGCTAGGGTTAAACAAAAAGTCATCTACAAAGGAGAGTCAATAAGAATAAGCTCAGACTACTCAGCAGAAACCATGCAGGCAAGAAGGCGATTACATATATAAAGCCTTGAAGGAAAAAAACTGCCAGCCAAGAATCATATATCCATCAAAGCTGTCTCTCAAATATGATGGTGAAATTAGGGCACTTCCAGATAAACAGAAGTTTAGGGAATTTGCAAAAACCAAACCAAAATTTACAAGAAATACTAAAGGGAGTCCTCCAGTTAGAAAATCAGTAACATCAGATAACAACCCAAGACTAGAACACAGGACAGAGCAACCAGATATCAACCCAGATAGGGAAGTCACAAAAGGAAATCAAAGGTAAAACACTGAAAATAGGGAAACAGATGTCAATATGTAAAAGATGACAACATTAAAACAAAAAAGAGGGACTTAAAAAATGTAGACATAGATTTTTCATATGGAGAGGAAGTCAAGGCGATAGAAAGAAATAAAAGACTGGCATAAACTTGGAAAATCAGGGGTAAATATTAAGGTAACCACAAAGGAAACTAACAATTCTACAAGTCAAAATAGAAAAATACAAAGACTCAGCAAACACAAAATCAACAACAATGAAAAAGACGAAAAGAAAATACATAAGGAACAACTCAGCAGAGAAAATTAAGTGGAACAAAGAAACTGTCAACAACACACAAAAAAAGCCATCCAAATGACAGCACTAAACTCGTACCTATCAATAATTATGCAAATGTAAATGGACTAAATGCACCAATAAAGAGAGAGTGGCAGACTGGTTAAAAAAACATAATCCGTCTATATGCTGCCTACAAGAGACACACCTTAGACTTAAAGACACAAACAAACTAAAACTCAAAAGATAGAAAAAAATATATCAAGCAAACAACACTCAAAAAAGAGCAGGAGTGGCAATATTAACCTTTGACAAAATGGACTTTAAAGTGAAATCCACCACAAAGGATAAGGAAGGACACTATATAATGATTAAAGGGTCAATACACCAGGAGGACATAACTATAGTAAATATTTACAGACCCAATGACAGGGCTCCAAAATACATAAAACAAACTCTAACAGCACTGAAAAGAGATAGACAGCTCCACAATAGTAGTAGGAGACTTCAACATACCACATCCAGAAAGAAGCTCAACAAAGACACAGAAGAGCTATATGCTACTATCAACCAACTTGATCTCATAGACATATACCGAACACTCCACCCAAAAGCAGCCAAGTATACTTTCTTTTCCAACATACATGCAACATTCTCCAGAATAGACCACATATTAGGCCATAAAGCAAGCCTTAACAAAATCTGAAGCATTGAAATATTACAAAGCACCTTTTCTGACCATAAAGCCATTGAAGTAGAGATCAACAACAGAAAGAGCAAGGAAAAAATATCAAACACATGGAAACTGACCAACAAACACCTTGCTCAAAAACTACTGGGTTATACGAGAAATTAAGGGGGGAATAAAGAAATTCATAGACTCAAACGAGAATGAAAACACATCCTACCAGAACCTTTGGGACACAGCAAAAGCAGTGCTCAGAGGTCAGTT